TTGTCCTTTAATTGGAAAAACTCCCCTGCGCCCCGCGGGCGCGGAAAAAGGAGGTGTGACAGCCTGTACTCGCTGCTCTAAGGTATTCTTGTTCTCTTGTAAGCTCTCTATGTCAAGCTGAGCACTCTCAAATTGCCCCTTCCAATTGGTTGCTTCCAATTGAGAGTCGCGTGCTATCTTCTCCAAAGGAGCAATTCTTTTCATCAACTCTGTGCCGATGAGATTAGCCTAAAAAAGAAAAGAGAAAAAATAAGAATCTCAAAGATGAAAAATTTTGCAAAGTAAAAAAGGGAGAGAAGGAAAATACCTTCAGAGTGGCATGCACGATATCATTTATTAAAGTTAAGGAACTGTGGCTTTCCAGCTTTACTTTTTCAATTGGGCCAATAAGAGGCTCCAGCCATATATCCGCCTGACCTGATTTTCTCAAAAGGCTATTCTCAGTATGAATTTCAATAGTTACCCGCCTCATAGCGACACTCCTACTTGAAGAGCCCGTTTCAGTATGATGAACTATAGGGGGGATAGCCAAAGGAGGAGCTGGAGAAGAGGTAAGAGCAATGGAAGAAGGAACGGAAATAGCTGGGGTCGGTAAAGAAGGAATCACAGGCACAGGTAATGAAAAAGATGATAAAGGTATGTCGTCTAAAATAGGCCCGACATCTTCACGACCAAATCCACTAACAAAAAGTTGGTCGATAGACTCACGAGTATTGTAGGGAGTGACATCATCATCAGGAATTATTATTGGGGTTTCAACAGGTTCGGTGAAAGAAACCAAGACTTCAGCTTCGTCATCGGAAACAATGCGTCTCCTAACTCGTGGCCTAGTTACCAACGGACTCTCGTTTTCCTCTTCTTCAGAATTTTCCTCTTCAACAACCTTCCTTTTCGCAGAAGAGGAACCCAAGACTATTTCTCGGGCTCTCTCTAGAGAGATACGGGTTCCCGAAGGAGTACGGGTCCCGAAGAGACACAAGAGGCTGCAACCGCTTCCGCAGTAACCCCTCGAATAGCAAATCCTGACAAAAAGAAGGATAAAAGTTAAAACAATAAATGAGAATATAGGCACGGAAAAAAAATGTGAACTCTTACCGTGAGTCTTAACCTTCCAACCAAAGCGGTTAGAAAGTGTTTTCCAAGATCTACTGTCCATTGGCGCGATCTTCAGCAATTTATCTACCCAACCACGGAAATTGGGAACATCCC